TTGATTAACATAATTGGTAATAAATCATAAATGCTAACTTATTAGGGAAAATATGAATTGTGAGTAACAAAAGGTAAAATTTCCTTGGTATTGTGTACAACTAGCTTAATTTAGATCTTTAATCTAAAATGTGTTTGAAAATAAAATAAAATAAAATAAAATAAAATAAATAAAATAAAATGTGTTTGAGTAAATTAATGTTTTCCTTAAATCTGCTTATTCTTTTGGGTGAGCTTTTTCAAACTATTATAAAGAGGACAGTCTGTGCAGAAAATATTCAAAGTGACATTCAGGAATTTGTAATTCTTACAGAAAAGAAATAAAAGTGGGAGCATGAGTGAATTTGACCAATAGGTTACTTAATCCTTTGGGTTTGAATATTTGTTTTTATTTCAGTTGCTAGTTAGACACCTAAGCTCATGGAATTTTGGAAGTACAGATGATTCTAGGGATGTTTGTTATAAGCCTGATAAATTATAATCATATTAAGTCCGATTAAAATCAGATTACTTCCTAAAAGTACAATTAAAGAATGTTTCTTTGGAATTAGGGAACATGTTCTGAAGCATTGTAAGACTGTTAAGTTCTCTGACCAAGTTTCAAAGCAGGTTGAACTAAAATATCTGAAATAGAGGATATGATTACCCTAAATCTGGTGGCCTGCCCATTCATTTATAGTCAATCAAATATTTTGCGGAAAAAGTAATTGATAAAAAAAATCAATAACCAAATAATAGAATTTGCCTTATAGACCAGCTGTGTTTTCCAGAGGTGTGCTATGGTTAGTAACTGAGTTGTTTTTCAAGGAGCTAATGAAAATTAATCAAATCAGTTTGATATTGTTATATACATGTTGTAGCAAATTGAATCAGAACTTTTTGATCAACTTTATTTCTAATATTTTTTCCTTATTTTTTCGAAGGCCTTGCCCACTGTTGCAGCTAAGATCTTATTCATTAAATGCTTTATGCTGAATATGTGCATAGGGACCCCTTTCCTGTGTAGGACTGTGCAATCACCATCAAAGTGCTTCAACAATTTAGCACTACTTAAGCAACTGCATTTTTTAACCTTCAAATCTTTAGCTATAAGTGCAGGAGATAATGCAGAAAACTGCCTTTTGAAGTCATATTGAACTCATTGACTCCCATCAGAAGCATATCAGTGGTTGCAAACATTACAGCGTAGATTAACTCCTTGAAGAGTTTGAACTATGTACAAAAATGGAGAGACAGATGCAAAAGACTTTTTATATTTGGAATCTCTAAGATCAAAATGCTTTTGTCTTTGATGGTATATATGAATACTATTTCTTGATTTATCATTCATGGCACTTCAGAATTGCTTCAAAAATAAAGAAAAGTCATGTATTTGGTGCTAGAGATATTCTAAAGCTCAAGAATACCTACAATTATCTTTTTATTACTCATTTATCAACATTTAATTAATATTGATTTATAAACATTGATAACATCACCGTAAGGATGCATCTTTACTATTGATGATCCATAGTTGTGTTACCACGTTAAAGAACTTATTGATTATCTAATTTGTAAGATCGTGAAATTGTATCACACGGGCTATATAATAGAGAATACATTTTGCATTGTAAGATTCAAAGGGACAATTAAAGACAGAATAGACATATGAATAGTCTAACTCGACATTGGTAATTTTTTTTCTGTAAGGGACCAGAGAGTAAATGGTTTAAACTTTGCAGGCCATCAGATCTCTGCATTGGTTTCCTAGGGCTGCAGTAACAAACTACCACAAACTTGGTGGCTTAAAACAATGGAATTTTATATTTTCAGTTCTAGAGGCAAAAAGTATGAAATTAAGGTATTGGCAGTACCATACTTTCACTGATGTTCTTGGGCAGAATCTGCTCCATACCTCTCTCCTAGCTTCTGCCATTTGCTTATGGCACTTGGTGTTCCTTCACTTAGAGCTACATAACTCAACCTCTGCCTCTGTCCTCATGTGGTCTACTCTCCTATGTGTTTATATATATCTCTGTATCCAAATCTCCTCGTCTTGTCTCTGTAAGAGACACCAGTCACTAGATTTAGGACCCACTGGAATCCAGTATGACCTCATCTTAACTTGATTGCAACTATAAAGACCATATTTCTAGATAAGGTCACATTCACAGATACTAGGGATGAAGCCTTCAGTGTATCTTTCTGGGAGACACAATTCAGTTCACTGCAGTCTCTGTTGCAACCATTCAGCTGTCTTTGTAGCATGAACACAGACAAAGACGGTACGTAAATACATGCATGTGCTGTGTTCCAATAAAACTTTATTTACCAAAATAGGTCATGGGTCACATTTGGCTGGTGTACTAGAGTTTACCAGTGCCTGGTCTAACTAACTGAAGGAAAAATGTAGTGGAGGAAAAAAAACCAATTTCCTCTTGTTTCAATCAGTCCATTTTTAAAGTATAAAAATGCATACAAATGTGTGTATATAGCAGCACTTATTTTAAAATGGTCGTCAACTCAAGGCAAAAACTGGAACTTTAAAACTGAATAATAATTTCAAATCCCAAAGTTCTATTACTAAAAATACTTGAATTATGATATTTATCCAGTCAATTCAAAGCTTTTTGATGATCATTTAGTTATCAGAGTTGATATGGCATTTCCTCCAAAGAGATCGAGATCATCATCGGTTTGGAAACAAGATTTTTCTTGAACTCAGACATATGTATTCACATATGTATTCACAAATGTATTCATTAGAAAAAAATGTACCTGATTCCCCCTCACTAAAGGTATGCTCTATGAGGGCAGGGACATCGTTTTATTTCATGGGATGTCCTCAGCACATGAAAGAGAGCTTAATACTTGATAGTCATTCAATAAATATTGACCTTAAGTAGCTTTTGTTTTTTTTCTCTGAAATAAAAAGAGTGAATTGATGTGTTGTTTTAACCATGTTGTATAAAAATATTCCTGTTATGGTATCTTAAAATTATTTATTGTCTTAAAGGAAAGCTACAATAAGAGAAATCCAATTTCTATTAGGAGCTTTTGGAAGAACTTAAAAAGAGAACAATAGAGCAATGAATCAGAAGGGGTCAGTGAAAACTATTGTTTTTTAATTTAATCAGATTCATGGAAAAATCACAAAAAGGTAGGGAAGTCAAGATATGTTTCAGCAGCCAAGGCAATATTAGCAACTACTTGTAACAGCTCAGCTCAGGACAACAGCACAGAAGTGTGGAAGCCCATGTGAGGTAACCCTTCATAGCCAGTAGGGATAGGAGAAGATACAGTTTGGATAAAGAGGTAGCAAGATGAGCGGTCCAGATTTTCCAAGCGCAGGCTCTGGAACTCTGTGATCATTCCAGCACAGAATTTCACCACTCTCCTGATAGTGGGATGGAAGACAATTAGCAGAAAGTGAAAGGTAGAGGAGTTGTAATGTTGCTCAGACAGACTAGAGACTTGTTGACTTCGTAGATGTAAACTGAGCCGACATGGTAGAGTCAGAGTCAACACCAAGACACCATGTTGAAAGTATGTTAAAGAGAAGTGTGATGTGTATAGGCAAGGATCAAGAGAGAGGGAGAGAGTCCTTGGGAGAGGGATTTTCCATGGGAGAAAATATCTAAAGAGAAATCGCAGCCCTAAGGATGTAGAACCAAAGAGAAGACCTGGGACCGCCAGAAATCATTAGTTTCAAGTTGATTATGGAATCACTCCAGTAAAAAGTGAATTTAGGGGAGAAGGAGTGGAGTGAGAGCAAACACTGGAGGCCTTTGGGGATCTTCAGAGTTAAGAGAATAGATCAAATGAGAAAGAATAAAGAAAAGGAGGATTATTAAAAATGCACTGCAGGGGCGCCTGGCTGGCTCAGTCAGAGGAGCAAGCGACTCTTGATCTCGGGGTCCTGAGTTCAAGCCCTACATTGGGTGCAGAGATTACTTAAATAAATTAACTTTTTAAAAAATTAAAAGATAAAATGCTGATTAGCCCTGGACAGCCATCCCTCCTTAGGCTCAGTCACTCTTACCCCTGTCTGTTCAGCAAAATCAGGAAAAAGACAGTTGCTAAGCAAAAAAAACATAATTTGCCTTGCTCCTCCTAACTTAGTCTTGCTACTGGCAGTTGGAAAAAACTACCCCATCAAATTAGCCACTTGAATTGCCTTAAAATCAGATAGTGAAGGTTTTTTTTTTTTTTAAGATTTTATTTATTTAAGAGAGAATGTGTATGCACGAGTAGGGGGAGGGGCAGAGGGAGAGGGAGAAACAGATTCCCCACTGAGCAGGGAGCCCTATCCCAGGACCTTGGGATCATGATCTGAGCCAAAGGCAGGTGCTCAACCAACGGAGCCACTCAGGCACCCTGGGATTGCACAGATTAAATTAATTTTCTAAAGAGGAAAATGCATTCTTAGGAGAGGACTAGAAGAGAAAGATCAGCTTCTTCCATAGTTGAAGATGTTTAGGTTCTAGAAACATGAAAATTATACCCACCGAAGAAAAAGTGTTTCCAAAAATTAATAAAATGTCCAATGTATTTGACAAAGTTTCACTTCCAAGAAGTTCCCAATTTGCTCCTGCTCCTAAAGAAAAATCAAAAGAATTAAAATAGCATACATCTTTGTAAGAAAAAGAGAGGGAATTTATTTGTGAATGGAGAAAATGCTGTGAGGGAAAAATTGTCCCATTGTGGGAAATTTAACAAACATATTGAGGCCAACTTTTCGCTGGCTTCCATAGTGAAATTTGATCTTGGGCTTAATTTTTTTTTTTTTTATGTGAAAAATCAGTTACAGTAGCTGAAACAAGGGTCCATAACTCTCAGTAACAGAAGGTATGCCTCACTTGCTGGTATTACAGGGTATTTTACAGCAATTTCACAAATTTTCATTTTTTTTTGTTGGAAGCAAGTTTTCCACCGTCTTCCAGATTGAGAAGGACATAAGGGTGGGTGTTGGTTTCTAGGTGAGTGTTATGCTGACGTGGGGCAAACCTTTTATCTTTGCAGAGAGGCCAATGAGTGTGGAACCCTGAGTGTCATTTGGGCTGAGCAAGGACTGATGTGCACCCAGAAGGAATGAAGAATGGATGTGAAAGAGCGTCGGCCCTACTGCTCGCTGACCAAGAGCAGACGAGAGAAAGAGCGGCGGTACACCAATTCCTCAGCAGACAATGAGGAGTGTAGGGTACCTACACAGAAGTCCTACAGTTCCAGTGAAACCTTGAAAGCTTTTGATCATGATTCCTCGCGGCTGCTTTACGGAAACAGAGTAAAGGATTTGGTTCATAGAGAAACAGACGAATACACCAGACAAGGTAGGTCAACGTCCTCATAAAGCAAAGCACACTCAGATGGTGCCAACTTGTACGTGTCGCTTTTTTGCCCACCCCCCACCCCCCGTCAAGGTATTATTTGTACTCTTTTCCAAGTTTGATGCCTGTCCTCTGATTCAAACTGGGGAGGTATGAGATGGCCACAGAATATTCCAGATGAAAGGTAGAAAGCCACCTGCAGGCACCCTGAGCCCACCTAGGGGTACCGACACATGTAGAGAATCACTGTGCACATTTTATACGTGAGGTTTGTGCGTCTGCACGCGGCCACTGTGCATTGCTTGAAACCCAGATCTCTTGGAATCCCTCACCCGCTCATGAAGGTAATCACAGACGCTATTTCTACAGTTAGAACTGATGCCGGGGGAAAGGAACAGTGGTGAGAAAAGCCCTGTTACCCCCATTAGAAAGTAAGAATCCTTATTCTGAATTATCTCATGGCCAATGCACCCCATCAGCGGGCATGTCTGTGCGTAGAAGAGTCTACTAGGGAGGGTTCAATCTTCTCTCTGGCAGGCAATTTAGAACATTAAGGTTGTACCTTAAAACATCCTAGCTTCTCATAATATAATCCATTACGGTTTGGTCATTCGCACATATTTGTTGGACATTTTTATGCTCTGTTTGCTGCCTGCATATCCTACCAATGGAATAATGACTTCTCGAACTCTACTTCACAAGTCTTAAACCTACCAATTTCCACGCTTTCAGACAACGGCTTATTTTAAATCTTGCATCCATAGTTATATTTTTTTCTTCTAAGACATTTCCGAGATGTGGGCAAGATCGCTCCTAATAAAAATAAAATCCTCTTACATTTGTATTGCTCTGTCAATTTACATAGAACTTAGCATACCTTAGCGAATTTAATCAGGAAATGAGGGGAAAAAATCAATTAAACTTCAAATGTAAAGAATATACTCATTCTTTTCCAATCACCTTGCAAACAGTGTGGCTAACAGTTTGGTATTGCACAGAAACAAATTTAAGAAAAAGTAATAATGCAATAATTCAAAGGTTTGGAAATTTTCCGTGGTTCTTTTCTTCTCTGCATTGTGGAAAGAGTCATCCTAACTAGACTGAAATAGCCTTCACTCACCCAAACCCGTTTCCCTCAAAGAAGACTCCTTTGATTGGCTAAGGAGAGATTTTTTTTTCACCCTAAAGCATGTCTTGCTAATATTACAGGTATCGTAGTTTCTGAAAGGGAGCAAAGTAGCTTAACACTTTTAATCCAGTTTTTAAGGAAAGATATAAAACATATCTTTGAGTGCTCGCTTCGGCAGCACATATACTAAAACATATCTTTGAGATCATTCTCTGGGTAAGTCAAGGGACTCGAAGTCCTTGTACAATGTCTTATAATTCCAAACCTGAGGGATTTTTTTTTTTTTTTAGTTTCATATTGTCTACACAGCTGACATAGATTATCAGGGTACATTTTTCACCAGTTTAAGAAAATCGTAGGTACTGTGAAATGCATGCAATCTGAGCCCAGTGTGAAGTCTTGCTTTTTGTAACAAAAACAACTGTTTAGTGCCTTATTGGGGAAAAAAAAAAAAAAAAAAACATTGTGGAATACCATTAAAAGAAAAAAATCCGCACATGTGGCGCGATGCGTGGAGGAGGCTCCTCTCCACCCCAAGCAAGCATTTGGTTTTGGCAGCACAAAGGATGCTTAAACAGGTTAAAAATAGCGAGCTGAAGTTTTCACCTCCTAGGCAGCGCTAATCCAGCGCAGGCTGTTGCTGATGACATGGTGGTACCATCTGTGGAAACCCTGGAACCGAAGTTCTTAGGGGACCAAACAGCCCTATTACTCAGCTTCTCACCAGCCAAGGAGGGGAGAAGAAAAGGGAGCGGAGGAAAGAGAGTGAGCGAGGCAGCAGATGGAGGCCCCTTGTCAGGAGCAGCTGAATGGAACAGGGAGAGGAGGTTCGAGGGCAGGAGAGGGAGGAAGAGCAGGAATGCAGTGTGGGCCGGGGCTGCAGCTCACCTGACACGTTCATAAATCAGGCCATATTAGAAACATAACTGGAATGCACTGCTCTTTATAGCCAATGTGCACCACTCCTCAGTGGGCCCCAGGCGGTGTGGGCACGATCAGCTAACCCTCCCGGTCACGGTGTGACGTGGGGCCCAGGAGCACCCCTCCCCCAGCTGGAGAGGCCTTACACCCCACACCCGATGACAGCTGAGCTGGGACTTGAACCCGGGGCCGGTCCCACCCCAAGTGCCCAGCTTCCAGCCTCTGTGCAGTGGCCACAGTGGAACACAGGCAATTCTGTGTAAGCCTTGCTCCTTGTTTTATGGGTGTCAGTTTTGGCCATTTTTGGGGATAGAGGGACAGGGGAGACCTTCAGGAAATAAAACTGATATGATTATTTGATACACAGGTGGGAAGAGGATGAGCGAGAGGGAGATGTTGCAGATACCTTGTCTCTCCTGTGGTTTGATACAGGGCATGTGTGTAGCAGGAGCAGTAAATGTAGTAGAGAAATGACTAAGGAAAGTCTGCTATCGGATTATGTTTTTCTCAGGCAAGCATAATGAAAAATCCTCCCAGGCTTTCATTTTCTTTGAACCTGACAAATGTCAATTTTTCCTCACTGACTATTAGGCTGTGGGATTAATTATTTAATTGACAAAATGTGCTTCCTGCCACAGCTCCTGACATCATACACATAATAAAAATGAAAAATGAAAAATATTACTAGTAGCCAAAGATCTTTGAAACAATTCCAAAGAATCATGCTAATTTAGCTTGTCCGTGGAGTTTTAAAACAACTTGTCAATCCTCCAGCCACTTATTCTTAGAATGACACAGGAAAAGCCACTTCAGCCAGAGAAAGGCATAAGTGGAGACCCCTCTTAATGCAATTACATGGAGAATTCAAATCTAGAAATATGATGTTTTTATGTTTCTTGACCAATTTTGTGGCCTGTTATCAAAGTTAATTTTAATCATTTTTTGTGACTTTACCAACTGGCAGGTGACTCTGGTTAATTACATGTTATATTTAGGGACTGTAAAGCTGGAGATGATTTTGTATTCACAATAATGTATAACTTGACTGGATCTCACAAAGGTCTCTCTCTCTGTCTCTTTTTAAGTCTCTCCATGTGGTTTATTAGGTGATGGAAATAGTTCTTTTAGCAGCTGTGGAGTTCTCCGTAGGTGTGATGGGGTTAGGGTAACAATGGCTTGTTTTGCATTCTTGGATACTATTTTCTTTGATTCATATTTGAAGAGAATTTATCCTGTCAGGTCTGAGACACATTTCTCATGAAACAGCTGCAGAAGATCATCCCACGGTTTTAGAGAAGTGATAAAATAAGAGATCTTTTTTCCTCTGCATTATGCACACTACTTGTAGTGTCCTTAACCAAACGAAAATGCTTATCAACTCCAACAAGGAATGTTGGCCATGAGGGTGATTTTTGAAACAAGGTGATGTCTGGAAATAAGCATGCTTTGTTCCACAGAACCCTGAGCCTGAAAAGCACACCCCTGAGATAGTGTTAACCCAAATGTTTACCAGTCATTCAGTAATTGGTGTTGGGTCATGAATTGCAGAATTTTTAAATGGAAAGGCCACCACTCACTCTTCATCTCTAGAATGGCAATGGGGAGGAAGGTTATCTGGTTTTAAATGTGAACAACAGGTAGCATTATGTCTCTGTTTTTACATCCCTAAAATCAAAATAGAATATAAATTTGCAGAGTAGTAAAGGGAAGAAGGAAGGCAGGTTGACAAAGATAGGTACTCGTTGATTTCTAAGTGTGGCTCACCGCCGGTCTTCCTGACAGCTTGCTTCCGGTCCCAGAAACTCTCTTCTTTCCTTATTGCTGCTCTGGGATTTGCCTTCTCTTCCTGCTTGTCATTGTCAGTAGCGCCCCACCATCCTGGCTCTCACAGACTTGGCTTCTGCTTCTTCCCTCATACCATTGCTGGTCTAAGACCGGTTCAAGTGTAGTAGTAGATCCCACAGGACCTGATTTTTCACTGCTGTCCCTCCTTAGTGGGCTGCATCCTGCTTCCATCTTTTATACAAATATTCTCTCTTACCAAGGATAACCCTCTTTTGTGAATCAAAAGAACATTAGAGAAGGAGTCCAAGTTTTCCTGTAATCATGTGTCCAGGATTCCAGCATGACGGTGGCTTGAATGATGCCTCATCAACCAACACCTCACCTCCTCTGAGCTGAGCAGTGATCCAGGGTGCAGATGAGATCTGGAATTCTTTTTTTTTTTTTTTAAGATTTTATTTATTTATTCATGAGAGGCACAGAGAGAGAGAGGCAGAGGGAGGAGCAGGCCCCATGCAGGGAGCCTGATGTGGGACTCGATCCCGGGACTCTGGGATCATGCCTTGAGCCAGAGGCAGATGCTCAACCACTGAGCCACCCAGGCGTCCTGAGCTCTAGAATTCTACAGGGCACTGAAGGACAAACCTGATGCAGACAGTTTTTCCATTTGGGTCAGATGAGAGCTCAGAATGGGGTACAGCTCTGGGGTGGAGAAAGCTGTGACTTTCTTTGAGAGGCTGAACTCCCTCTCCATGGTCCTTCCAGGAGTGAAGGTTACCTTATAGGAGCAGCTGGCTGCCTTGGCCCCTGGAGCTGGGGGAACCTTACACAGATGCATTTTCTCCAGTCTAACATCGTGAGACTACCAGCCAAGGAAACAGGGAAGAGGAAGATATGTCTCCAGAGTCTAACAGGACTTACTGCTAAGGCACCCAGGAAAGCCACTTGATAGCACCCAAAATGCAGGAAGTGGGATAGGATGCAAGATGAACAAATCAGGAAGCAGCTAATGAAAATGAGCAATGGAGATAGAAGAGGAAAACTTGAACCTAAATTAAAAAGTACAACATCACTTAGAGAAATCTAAGTACAGAAAAAGGCAGTAAGAAGAAAACCAACAATAACCACCAAATGCTGGTGGCGGGGGGAGGAGGAGGGAGAAAAGCCATCA